AAGTAGGATCATAGCTTGATTACTGGAGATCATGGGGTCTCAAGAGCCCTGGGTGTCATATGATTTATGGTCATGAGGTCTAGATGAACAGAGTGAACACATCCACTCGAATCTTCTGTAATGGCCAAAGTGGAGAAACTGGTTCTCTCCCGTTGATAGAAAATGAACACTGAAGGTACAAAACAGTGAGTTTTGAACCCATTTAAAACCCAGCTTAGTATCATGGTATCCCTATGTCATATCTTCCTATCTGAGTCCAGTTCCAGAAGAATTCAGTCTTTCCCTCAGTTGTTGCTACAAAGTTCTTTTCAGTAAATGCTCTACACAAAATCCCTTCTTCAACTCATACCTCAGCCAGATTAGTGTAATTTTTTTTTTCAGACTGTATTACGCAAATGTAAGCAAAACATCAGATCATAAAATTCAGGAAACATCCAGACTCTGCCTTGTCAGGGAAATCTTCTCCAATACTCACTAAGATCATTGTCAGCAAAGGGCTTTGACCCACATCCATGATCAACCACATTTTCCCCTTCACCTTACCACTCCTCTACCAAGGCACTTAGACTTTACAACTGGAAAGTGTCTCTGCTGCCAATAAAACAACGCTGTGAAAATTCAACATAATTCAGCTTTGATTGCCCCACACTGACACTCGACTACCTGAGCCATTGACACCAGTGCTTTGACTTCCCACTAGATTTTCCAATTCTTCCTTTAATTTTTCACTTTCATCTGTGGCATTTGTGTTAGCTGTAGAATGGAAAATCATTGTCATTAGAACACATCAGGATTCAACATTCGTATTTTGTATTCAGACAAATTTAAAGTCATCACCTGACCTCCTGACACTACATAAGTTAAGACCTTTTAGACAATGTTTTGTTGTTATTGTCATTATCACAAACACTGAATTGACAGAAAGTACAGAGTGTGTGTGTATATATATATATATATATATATATATATATATATATATATATAATGTATACATATGTATATACATGTATACATGTATCCTTGTCTCTTCTCACCCAAAACAGAGGAATAGTGCAGTCTCTCCACAGAAAATCAAATAACATTAATTTAGCCAAAATATCATATTAAATAGCAGTTATATTTCAAAAGGTCTTAGGTGAGAAAATGCCTATTATCAACAGAACAGAGCATAAATTTCCAAAAAAACATTTGGCATACACTGTTGTCACAGGATGAACTTCAGTGAGCAATTTCAAGTTCAAATTTAGCTCCACCCTTCCTTCAGCAATGACCAACTGAAAGGACCACTTGAATTCTACCACATTTAGAGAAATGAAGAAGTGGTTCACACTGCTTAGGCTCCCTATGTGATCCTCTGCAGCCATCTCTACTTCTTCCAATCCCGCATTTTCTCTGATTCTTTTATCACTCTTTCTTACTTCCACCAGACCCCGATGATTGTTCTCCCTGAAGTATGGGACCATTTCCTGAGTCTATGGAGACTTCACCTTGTGTTTGTGGCATATTGTTCCCACTTGAGCCACCTGGCAAAGGTAAAATCATAATCATAAGGATGATTTGACTACTCATCAGTCTTCAGAACTGTGCTGTGTGGGGAAAAGCAGGCTCATAGGTTCGTTACTGGGGATTCCAGTGTATCAAGAGGCCTGGGCATCCTATAGTCCATTTTCATCAAGTTCTACATCAACAAAGCCAACACATCCCTCTGACCTTCTCTAAGGGCAAAAGGGAAAAACTAGTCCTCTCACTTTGATAGAAAACGAAAATGTAAGTTATAAAACAATGAGTTTTGAACCTATTTAACATCCTAAGGAAGACCCATCTTAGTAGAATGGGTATGCCATAGCATCCTCACTCATAGTCTTGGTGTATGTTCTTGAAAGATGCAATTCTTTCCCTCAGTTGTGATCACAAAATTCTTTTCCTTAAGTTCCCTTCATCTGCTCACAGTTCTGCCAGATTATTATAAGGTTGTCAGCAGACTGTATTATGCAACTGTTTTTTAAAATATCTGATACTAAAATATCTGACAGGAAACAATCCAGAATCTCCCAAGTCAGAGAAAATTTTCATGTTCACTGAGATCATAGTCAGCCAAGGGCTTTCACTTAGGCCCATGACGAACCACAGCTCTTCCCTGCCCTTCACCCCTCTTCTACAAAGGTACCCAGACTTTCAAAAAGACAGATAATTCTACTGCCAATAAAACAAGTGCTTGCCAGCTCGGCATAGCTCAGATTTGACTGCCATGCTCTGACACTTGACTGTGTGAGCCAATGGCGTTCGTCCTTCTCGTTTCAGGTATGCCTGATAAAATGTTCTCATTCTGTGCAGTAAACACAACAGCTGTAGGAGGCAAAATGATCTTATCAGAAAACAAGCCAAACATTTAGCATTAATACTTTGTCTTCAAACTAATTAAACAATCTGCCCCTAACCACCGGCCACGACATAAGCTACCACCTTTCAGTTCATATTCCTTTTTCTCACAAACCTAACTGCAGAGAAAGCACAAGATCTAAACTAGATCCATCCTTGTTTCTTTCTTCTTACCCAGAGCAGAACAGTGTGGTCTATGTGGCAAACTACTACAGCCATCCCTGTTTTCCCCCTTTCTCCCCAGAGTGGCGATCAATGTTTATTTTCTTCTCCAAAGAAAATAAAAACGAGATTAATTTATCCCCTAGATCATATCCGATAATATTTAAGGTTCAAAAGATTCTAGGAGAGACAATACCTATTATTAACATTGGCCCTAAATATAGAGACCCAAAATGCTTCATCATAGGCTATTGTCAGAGGATGAACTTCAGGATTTTCAAGTTCAACTTTGGCTCTTTCTACAGTGACCATATCAATTAACTTGAAATGCTTTACTTTAAAATAAAATTCAGTGCTCTCAAATGGAGTGTATTTAAATCTCACCGGTTCATACTGCTCAGGTAAACTACTTGATCCACTGTCAGCATCTCTTTTCCTTTTGAGTCTAAATTCATCCTCAACTTTCAATCAAAGTCTGTATCGCTACAACCAAAAATTCACTGCTTTACTGCATCAGAAGACCTGTAGTAACTATTGGCTCCCTTTGATGGAACATGAAAAAGGCAAGTTACAAAATAATTAATTTTAAATAATTTGAGATTCTCAGAAGGACCCATCTAAGTAGAGGAGGTGGGAGGTAGCATCACCCCTGAGTCTCATAGGTCCAGTTCCCGTAGACTCTTGCTCATTCATTCAGTTCTCACCGCAAAGTTCCTTTCAGTAAATGCTCTACACCAAATCCTATCTGTTCAGGGCTTTCACCCACTTGTTCCATTCACAGTTCATCGGATTATTAGAAGTTTGCTAACTCTGTAGTATGCAAATTTGATCAAAGAGATCTGATTATGAAATATCTGACATTCTTATTTTCCGCACTTTAGTTTCCAGTTCCTTAAGACTCGCTGCTAATCTCTATATTCCTGTCATTCCCACCAGATGCAGATGCCTGTTTATGCTTAGGTTTTAGATAGACTCCTGAATCTTTAGAAACTTCGACTAAGAAATGTAGCTCACTCTTTTCAAAGTATTTACCTGGTAAAATAAAGTTATAATAGCAATTGTGACCTCAGCTCTGCATTCGTTTTCATAACTGCACTGTGTTGGGACAAGGATGTTGAAGCTAGATTACTGGAGATGTAGAGTCCTCGAAACCATATCTTACACTTTCCTCAAAGCCTATACCTTTACAGGCATGGACAAAGCAAACATATCCACACTTTCCTTTTCCATCGACAGACCTAGAGAAAATGGTTCACTTTCTTTGATGGAAAATGAAAACTCAAATTTAGAAAATATTTTTAAAGTTGGGAGCCCATTTAAAATCCTCAGAAGCACCAAGCTTAATAAATGGGTGAGAAATAGCATCACAGCTCAGACTCATGTGTCCAGTCCCAGTAGATCTTCTGCTCATTCCATTAATACTAGATTCCAAAGTAATTTTCATTAAATGATCTACACTGAACCAATTATTCCTGGATCACACTTATTTCTCATCTTAAAATTCTATTAGATTATTAGAATCTGTTGCCAGATGATGTTTAGCAAACATTATTGTCCAAAAGTTCTCTCTAGTTATGAGAGTATCTGTCAGATAACAGACCCCTGGACCTACACTCCCTGTGAGAAGCTGATAAAAGAAAATCCAAGTGAATGTGTATCCTTGACATGAACACAGCCATGTTAAGGATCTCTGTGCCTCACATTCTTGGGAGTAACAAAGTCTTCCTCTGCTCGGGTTATGGATTTGACTTGACTTTGGCTGAAAATCAGTGTTTTCAGAAAGCATTGATCATAGCTTCATCCTGCTAGGTGACTGCAACCTGAGGATATGAAGAAGGTCTCACTGGCCCACACATCTCAAGTAGCCTACCAATCCACTGTCAGCATTGCTGCTGCTGCTTCTGATTCCTGCTTTGATATGACTAGTGACACCATCTGCAGAAAGGATGGTATCAATAAATTTAAATTCGAAGGGAATAGAAATACCTACAGTACTTTCACTTCGTTCGTCAGCATCTTTTGTTCTGTGTTTACTAAAACCATCATCACAAAGCTAATTTGTACTATAAGTAGCCAGGTCAATGTTTAACTCCAACCTCGTTTCTCCACTTTTTTATTTTTTTTTTTCAGAATAGAGTGGCAAGTGTTACCTCCCAATAAAAAAATCAAAATAAAAGAAATAAGGAAGTCAAAAGTTAAGTCCCTGATCTTCCTACTCATATTAAATTAAAATGTTTTTCCCATATAATATAAAAAGTTATTTGAAACTCCTTGTGATTCCCAGAAGCTGAGATTTAGTAGAATACCTATTGATTTGAATAGATGAGCAATTAGTCCAGCAAGACGTGAAACAAATGGATTGCCATCTACTTGTCCACCTTTGTTTTCACTAGCAGCATCTAATTTAGAAGTCAAGTTAGCGGAGCCAGCAATATCAAGTGAGCTGTTACTTGTCAAGTTAGTTTTACCTGCAGAATATAAAAAGAATGTCACAGAGGATATTCCTGAATCTGATTATTTTATGTACAAATTTAGATCATGGTATCTAAGTCACTGAAAATGTATCCTCCACAGCAAATTATCTGACTCTTAAGTATTTTGCTAGTAAAACCATTAAAAACAGAAGGATTCAAGCTTCAAACCCCAAAGCCAACAGCAGAATCTTTCTTCCCCTTCTTGAGCTGCAAACCAGTAGTTCCCATTGCAAGTAATGAAAAAAATCAAAACATTATTAAAAAAACGCTCTATGATGAATTATTGCTCATTATACAGTAACTAAAAAAACAGATTTTTTTCACAAGTTACTTAATTTAAATAATTCAAGTATAAATCTTCATTGGAAACAGATAGACACAGTCACTAGATCCAATGACTACAGTTACCTCCATCAGAAATCTGAGCTTTCCTGGTAGGTCGAACAGGTATATGTATTCCCAATCCAACGCGTCCAGAGAAGTGAAACCTAGGAGCTACAACTGTTTGAAACAACAACAACATTGTCACCACCGAAGAGACATATCTTGACTTTTCACTTTTAATACACAAAGCCTAAATGTTAGTGTTTAGATCAGGGAGACAGAGTTTCCTTCATCCTTGTCTCACTTTCTTCTCACTTTAACCCACCCTTTTGGACTCAACCTATGCAAGAACATCTATGCCACATCTGGGTTGCCCCCGCCTCACACACACACACACCTTTGGGCCAATGAAAAAAAAAACTGAAACAACAAATATGGAAAATTAATATGTTTGGAAGATCAATGAGCAATGAAAACATAAAGAGATGATGGAATACATGCCCTTTGCCTTGTATTAATCATCTGCATCAGCGTTCTCGATGCAGTGACATGTAAGCCTCGCCACAGATGTATCAACCTTCCTGATGTTTCACTAGTTTCCACCAACACCCACGTCTTCTAAGGTCATAACTCTGTCTAAAAAAAATACCCAGAGTAACAGAATTTTATTAATCTTTATTTCCTTCAATGGCTTTAATTTCCAAATGTAAGAATATATGTATCTGCCCTTTCTGCAAATTGACCTTTTAGCTTTCTTTTTCTCCCTCAAGAGAGCTACAATGAGAATAATAGAAATCCAATCATCGTTAGCATTGAAACTGTCATAGAGAAACACGAGCTGGAAAACTTTCTTATTCTGCATGACAAAATAAACAACAAACAGAAAAAACCCCCACTTAAATGATTTCCCAAAGCCTACAAAGATGCAATCTCTTTCTCCCTGACACAAGCCCCTTCAATACAAGGTATTTGTGTTGTTTAATACTAAATATGCAGATTAGAAATCTTTCCCATAAGTCCACCCAACGCTAAATCTACACCCACCGAAGACCCAGTACCAATCTCCAACCTCTATTTTGCTAATAAAGGTGTTCTAAGACCAAGTTGACAGTGTTCTTCAAACAGAAATTCTAGCCATATGATCTGATACTAACTAAACGTCTGGAAATTGCAACTATTTCTGGAAAACATGCCACTCAAAGTGAGCAGACATTCCTCTGACCTAATTACAGGCAAACATTAAGACAAACAACAAAGAGAGCCTATTAAACCGAAAACTTTTCTCATGTGTTTTGATACAATTTGAATTGATTGGTACCTGAAAACACACTCAAGACGATTCAACCAAAAGCTAAGAAGAAATGGCTTACAGCCATGATTCCAATACAACATAAATATTTTTAAAGAAAACTTGCACAGGTGAAATTTTAGGGTCATTAATATTTGCATTTCCCTGATGGCTAATGAGGTTGAGCATGTCTTTAAGTGTTTCTCTGCCATTTGATATTCCTCTGCAGAGAATTCTCTGTTTAGTTCTGTACCCCATTTTTTAATTGGATTACTTGATTTTTTGCTGTTTAACTTCTTTAGTTCTTTACATATACTGGATATTAGCCCTCTGTCAAATATAGGGTTGGTGAAGATCCTTTCCCAATCTGTAGGCTGTCATTTTGTTCTGAGGACAGTGTTCTTTGCTTTACAGAAGCTTTTCAGTTTCATGAGGTCCCATTTATTGATTGTTGCTCACCTTACACCCATCAGAATGGCTAAGATAAAAAAACTCAAGAGACAACACATGTTGGAGAGGTTGTGAAGAAAAGGGAACCCTTTCCACTGCTGGTGGGAATGTAAACTTGTACAACCACTCTGGAAAGCAATCTGGTGCTTTCTCAGACAACTAGGAATAGCGCTTCCTCAAGATCCATCTATACCACTCCTAGGCATATATCCAAAAGAGTCTCACATATATAATAAGGACATTTGCTCAACCATGTTTGTAGCAGCCTTATTTTAATAGGCAGAAGCTGGAAACAGCCCAGATGCCCCTCAGTGGAGGGATAGATGCACAAATTGTGGTATATCTACACAATGGAATATTACTCAGCAATAAAAAACAAGGAAATCATGAAATTTGCAGGTAAATGGTGGGATCTGGAAAAGATCATCCTGAGTGAGCTATCCCAGAAGCAGAAAGACGCACATGGTATATATTCACTCATATAGACATATAATATAGGATAAACCTACTAAAATCTGTACACCTAAAGAAACTAATCAAGAGGGAGGACTCTTGCTAAAATGCTCCATTCCTATCCAGAAAGGCAAAGAGGCTGGCCATCAGAAGAAGGAGAAAAGAGGGAACAAGTCAGGAGCCTGACACAGAGGACCTCTGAAAAGCTCTGCCCTGCAGACTATCAAAGCAGATGCTGAGACTTATGGGCAACCTTTCGGCAGAGTACAGGGAATCTTAGGAAAGAAGAGGGAAACAGTAAGATCTGGAGAGGACAGGAACTCCACAAGGAGAGCAAAAGAACAAAAAAATCTGAGCACAGGGGTCTTTCCTGAGACTGATATCCAACCAAGGACTATGCATGGAGATAACCTAAGACCCCTGCACAGATGTAATCCATGGCAGTTCAGTGTCCAAATGGGTTCCATTGTAATAGGAACAGGGACTGTCTCTGACATGAACTGATTGGCCTGCTCTTTGATCACCTCCCCCTGAGGGGGAGCAGCCTTACCAGGCCACAGAAGAAGACAATGCAGCCACTCCTGATGAGACCTAATTTACTAGGATCAGAAGGAAGGAAAAGAAGTCTTCCCCTATCAGTGGACTTGGGAGGGGCATGCATGCAGAGAGTGGAGGAAGGGAGGGATTGGGAAGGGAGGAGGAAGGGAACCGCAGGGGGGATACAAAGTGAGTAAAGTGTAATTAATAAAGAAAAAAAAGAGAAAACTTTCGCACTAACATTCTGTGTGTCATGTAAACTCTGGCAATTATGAACTATCTGAAATGTAGTTTGCAGTCAAGAATTTGTCCCTGGGTCCCCTTCAGGCATAGGAGATGTCCTAAATCCCATGCTTGAATTCTTGCTTATTTGACTCGCCTATTAGCTAAAACACTCACAGCCTCATTTGAGATGTAGGTTCCCGCCACGCATGCTAGCGTAAGGAGCCTGGATCAATAATGCTCCCATCTGAGTATCTGAAAGCAGTAAGAAGGGGATCCGGCAGGTGACCCCAGACACAGCCTCCCACGATATGGGAGAGGAGAGAGTCACCCCTCCAACGCAGATGTGGAGCCTCAGAGACCATCGCAAGAGAAAAGACAGCATGTGCTCAAGCTGGACAATCAGTGGGAACTGAGCACCGAATCTCGCCGAGTCACAGCTTTTCGCGTTAGGAAAACAAGGGTGAAAGCTCAGAGCAACCTGCCTTGAAGGAGTTCTGATCAGGGGTGCGGAGTGGAATGGAGGAACCGGGCAGTTTCCGCACAAAGCCAAGGCGATGTTTTCTGTTTCCTTGTGTCGGTTCCACCACGGTATCACAGATTAAAAACCGATTTTTCAGAGATACTGACCTTTTGGTATAGTGACAAACAGTCCCCCCATCTTAAAATAGTAAGAAAAAAAACGGTATAATATCATATTTTAAGACAACAAAATAACTTTACTTCCACTCTTTCTTAAATTTTAATGGGAGCAACCCCTCTTTTATATGGTAACTAATATCCCAATGCTAATTTATTATTTTGGAACTTTTTATTTAATAAAATTCTCCCATGTGTGTATGAAATACATCGACCTGCTATACGTAAAGTCATAGCATTCCAGGGCATCCCGGTCTTGAAACTGGAATGGCAAGCAAAACTCAGCAGTCAATATTTGTCAAAATGCTGCTTCTTTTTTTCCCATGACAGCATTGACCTAAAATTGTTGGTTTTTTTTTTTTCTTTTGCAATCTAAATTTTACCTAATATTTATGCTATTTTTCCTAATATTTTCTCAGTAAAGTATTAGTTTAAAATGAAAATTTTAAATGACCTAATATATTTTATTAATTTTAATTTAGTGAGAATAAAAAGAATGGCCTATGAAAATGTGTAAGAAATATACACATACAGTTCCAGCTCAATATTTTATTATATATAAATAGTATATAGTTATATATATATATACATATATATAAGAAATCCAATCATATATATACATATATGTATATGTATGTATACATATATACATATATACTTAGTTACAACTAACATTTTTCTATTTATCCAGGACCTTCAATTTCTTTTTCTTCTTTCTGTACAGTCATGACTGGTGAAAGCATATAAATTTTGTTTTGATTGACTATAAAACTGCTGCAGAATATTTTTTATTTTGCTCAATTTTTAAATTTACCAGAATGCTTTCAATTATTCTGACTTTTTGGAAACAGCCAAGAAACTAGTTACTTTAAGAAATGTTTTCCTGTGAAGTTTTGTTTTGGTGATGGACTGATCCTTTCAGAAATGGCACTTTTGAGATTTGTGAATACAGCAATTCTCAGTGTAGCATTCTAGAGAATGCTAGCATTCTAGCATTAATGAGAATGTGTACTCAAAACATAATTAGCAAAGGATAAACTGTGCTGAGAATGAGCAGTGAACCTTAGGACTAAAACACATAAACTCAAACACACACACACACACACACACACACACACACATACAATCCTTAAGATTGCCTTTAACAATATAAGTAACACCTGCTTCAATAAAATGTGGTATCCCCCATATTATTCTACTCTGAAGTACAAGAAAGAAGTGGAGAACACTAAACGTTAAATATACATGCACCCATTAAATTAAAAAGACTCCAATTCTTTACCTTCGCAATAGATGCAGAGCACCACAGCCAGGGACAGAATGATCAGCTTCATGGTGATGCTTTGGGACCTAACCGTAGATGCCGGAGAATCAGGCCCATCGTGGCATCTCTATCCTGCATATTTATAGACCATTTCAACACTGACTCTCGTCAGCAGTTGGCTTGACAAGCCTTGTGGTGACAGCACAGGTAAACATTGTAGCAAGTCAAAGACAATCTACTGTACATCAGGTTAGTGTCCAATTTCTCTGACATCTTCTACTTTGGCGCAAGTCCATGCCAAACACAGAGTATGCCTTCTTGCCGCCCTATGCAAACAGTAAGGCCAGGAGCTGAAAGCCTGAGGATTAAGCCTCAAATATGCTGATGACATGCCTTGATCTATGCCCTGTCAATCATCATAGATGTCTTAATGTTTCAAGGAAATCAAATATTATGATATATTAATGTTGTCCTTCTTTTGGCAACAAAATGTATTTTAAACATTAACTTACTTTGAAACAAAGAACCCTTTGCATTTGCTTACCAATATGGTAATAATTATTTCCTTAGATATATACATATAATTATAATGTGGGTACAGAAACACTAAAATACAGGAATGTATCATTGGCACAGTGCTAGATTTATTATTTAAAAATTTCTTATGTTCTAATGACACATCTTTTCCATGCACGTCACAATCAGACACGCATAAGCACAAATATACGGAAAAGTTGACATGAGAAATGTTTTATGGCAGAAATAAAATTAAATAGAAAGTCTATTTAAGTGTCATACATTTGTAAAAAAAAAAATGAATTCAAGGTACGGGCTGTTTTGTGCTTAACAACATAGGGAAAGAAAATCAAAATATCGTTTATGCTAGCCAATAGATGTGAACCCTGGAAGGTCAGATATGCAGCTCCAATGCTGCTATTTGCTTATCACTGACACCCAGGTGCTAGTAAGAAAACTGAAGAAACCATAGAGAATAGTTTATCATTCATAGAAAAGCAGCAAGTTTGTGAGCAATGAGAAAAACATAGACCAACTTCCCCTTTTCAATTTCTGGTCCCTTCTCTCAATTAGGTGCCTGCTCCTCACCCCACACCATCGACATCTGTACACCGGCTTCCACTGTGTGGCCGACTATCACCATTATTAGCTCTCGTTAACCCTCACTTCCTTTAAGCTCTTCGTATGTGTTTAAAATCTCCCAACCAAAGCTTTAAATTCGTTCCATTCCTCTACCTATGCTATGGTAACGAAAACGGTTGGATAAAGTCATGAGCTCTGGCTAAACTTCCTCACCACAAATGAACATGTAAGATGATCAAATGATTCTAGCTCCTACCCGCTTTGCTCTGATGTCCTTCTATTTTATACTGCCAGCATCCAGCATCTTTCTCACAGTTCCTCAGAGTTAATGACATCACTTTCAATTTTTCTGAGGAAATAAATGTTATCAAAAGAAAAGCTGCAAGTTCGCATCCGCCGTATCCTCATCCCCTGGCATTTGTGCCTAAACTCTGCCCGCCTTCCTATGAATTCATATAAACACATCAGCACCTGAGATTCCTGTCAGGAACATTGTGCCAGCAATTCCCTCTTCTCCCACTCTGACATCAAGATATTAGCATTGTCAAAAAGATTTTTTTTTTTTTTTTTTTGCAGGCTGTAGACTCATTTTGTTCAATAATATGTAATGAGGTAGATTCGTTTTGCAGGGATTTTTAAGCACCCTTAACTGTTTCACAATCCTGTAACAGTGAAAGGAAAGTCTCATAATATGAAGCTATGAAACACGTCTTAAAGGAATGCCCATCAAAAAAGAACAATAGGCAAATGTCTCTTTCCTGATTCAAAAGGATATGGCTTAAGTCTATGCACTTAGCACTGTCCTGCCAGAGAGAGTCAACTGCTGGAAGGACAATAGCATCAGTGTGAGCAAGACAGTGTGTTTGTATAACAAGGCTTGTTCCATAAGGAAACGAGGGACATACTGAACAATGTCTGCTTGGGCTATAGAACAAGATGTTCTCTACTGTCATTCACATTATGATCTAAAAATCTGAAAGGTGGATTCCTCATAATTAGAAATGTGCTATTATATTAAAAGTTTTATTCCAGGAGAAATAAAAATTAAATTACAGATTTGAAAAACTGTTCATCAAACTTGTGCAATTATGTGAAACCCAAATAAAACAATATTCTATACAGACAACATAATCTTGATAGTGATATAAAGCCCCCAATTCAACGTCAACATTTTCTTAGACTGATACTTTGAAGGCAGGGGAAACTGACAAAGTCAGGACGGACTTCCAGAGCACGCTCAGAACTCCTGTTCACTCTTATTTCAGACCTCCGCATGTCTTCACCAGTACCAACTCTCCTCACTCACCTCACTCACACTTTCGTTCCCACTCTGCTTCCAAACTCACGTGCCTTACACAGCCCAGATAGACCTTCACTGAATGCGCTGCTAAACTCACTAACCATCGTAAGGTTAGCCCATTCTCTGCTCCTGTCCTTCTTTATTCCGAACAAGGAACCGAGTGGACTGCCTGGAAGAGCTCAGAGCTCCGCCTGGTCCTACCGTCCTTCCTGCCCATCTTCCGGTTCTCTGAGCTCCTCCGGGTGGTCTGCTCTTTTCTGAAGGGGAGCTGGGCTTGGAGAGCCAGAAGATGGGCAGGAAGGATTGCAGGGACCAAGAGGGGCTGGGCTGAGGACACCAGGAGAGCATGGCTCACAGAATCAGCTAAACCCACAATGTCTTCCTGAGGTGTGGATCAGCGAAGTATTTCCACCTGAATGCGTTACAAGAGGTTCAAGCAAATGTGACAAGAATGAAACCGTTTTCTGAGCCACGCTCACCACTCTTCTCTGCTTTTAACACTGAGCAACATAGAACATTCTGCATTCCAAATTTCAGTTATCTGTCCTGTGAAGTCTTAATTAGTATGTTAAAATCAAATAAGGCAGACTGTAGTGACATAGCATGGCTTATTTCGTTACCTATGAATCTTTCACACATGAACAATATGCCCATCACCTCTGAAAGACGAGAGACTAAAATAGGGACCACTCTCAGGAAAATTTTATTTCAGTACAATTATACTAGGGTATTTTATTCTTAATCTGGAGCTATTCATGAATACGGGATTAAAAAAAATGTGTAGCCATAAGAATTATTTCACAACTGATATCCAAGACGTGTTAGAGACTTCCAACCATCACCAGCTGTCAGGACAGGGGCGCATGCCTGGAAGGTGGATCAGTGGAGAAGGCTCAGAGGTTGAGCTGTAAACAGAGACTTGAAAAGTCCCTAATGTGCAAAGAAAGGAACCAGGGGAAGGCGATCAGGAAAGCATACCCAACCTTTATACTGTGGCGTCACCGCAAAGGGTGGGGCAGAGTCAAATTTAAAGGAAGGAGAAAGTTTTCCTTGAACCCAACCGGCCAGGCCCCAGCAAGGTGCAGAACTACAGCATCAACAGACAGGACACCTGCAATCTGCACGGTACACCTTTACCGTGAATTGATTTCTCTTTTCTTTCCACGCAGTAATCACGGGGCAGTGTCAGGAAGCCCTGTTGATGAACCTCTCATGTGACGCTTTGGAAGTCAAAACTGTAACGTTTGCAGGTGTGTTTCTGGGAACCTTCCGCAAAAGCCAGGAGCTGATCCAGTGAGCGTCCCCGAGCCAGACTGAATCAAAAGTGCTGCGAGCTCCCCCTGGTGGGAAGCCAGGCTGAGCCGCAACTGGGAAGCGCCTCGCGGGAGCTTCCGAAGGGGCTGGCTCAAAGACGCACAGGAATAACTACCTGCCCCTGGCGTAAACCCGAGGGTGGAACCTTCGGGCAATGCAGAGGAAGCACACCTTCTGCCTACACCCTCACCCTAAACAGACACAACCAAAGGCACCAGGGTCCCAGACTGGCACAGCTGAAAGAAATGCTCAGGCCCGCACTCGCCCATCAAAGGTCAGCTGGATGAACAAGAGTAGCGACAGCTGGTGCTGACCCTTGGTAACTGTAGCTAGACAACCCAAACGGGGGAAAAACAAAACAAAACAAAACAAAACAACAACAACAACAAAACGAACAAAGTAGATAACATGCTGCCGAAGTTCTCAGCTGAACACATCCGGAAAGCTTTGCTCCCCAGGCCTAGCGCCTTCGATTTGGTTTCGGTTCGTGTTTTAAAGACCATTTAGTTTTGTTGTTGTTTTACTTTTGAATATTTACGCAGGAATACTTTTTAAATTATCTTTATGCCCTCTTTCATCTATTCTCCTTTAATATTTCATTTTTTTTCTTTCTCTTTTTCTTTGTCTTTAGCTTTAAATATTGTATTGGATCATTTTCTCATCTTGTTTCTTCTTCTTTCATTTTTTCAAGATTTCCTTTCCTTTGACCTTTTTTCACTGTTTAACTCTTTAATTGGATTTTTCATTCATCTTCTCTTACTTCTCATTTCCCCCATTTATTTATTATTCTTATTTTTTCCTTCTTTTCGCATCACTTTAAAAAATCATTTTTTCTTGTTCTTACCTTTACTTAGTAGTATCTTTTTATAACTCTCGACTATCTTTGCATGTGGTGGTAGATGTTCTTAAATGGTTACTTTATTCTGTTTGGTGTGTTTGCATGAGGCAGGTTATCACTTCAGTTTTCTTCTCTGTGGATGGTGCTGGAAATGGACCCCAGTGCTTAGAAAGCAGTGGGCAAGTGCTCATCTTCTCAGATATAACCTCATCCAAGCTGTTAGAAACTGTACCACAATCCATCCACAACATAGTCACATCCAAGCCTGTAAAAGCCATGGGTAAATGAGAGACTATAACTTCCAGCTAATATATTAACAATCACAATACAGAAACAGTAAACATGAGAAAACAAGGCAACACAAGTTCTCCGAAAGGGGCCAGTGATATCAAAGTAGAGGAAATACTACCAAAAGAACACAAGAGTTATCATAAAAATAGCAGTGAACTCAAAGAAGCTGTATGTAAAAATAAATAAAACATGAAAGAATCAGGAGGATGTAAGAGAGCAGTTCAACAAA